ACGTACAGTACTAATGTCTATTACACAACTAGTAATAATAATACAAAACATTACTCGGGCACGGCGGTTGCCAAACTGCAGTCCGCGGACCACTGGTGGTTCTGCGAGGCCGTGGGAAGTGAGCTGCGGAATCGTTGCAAATATGATTTCCAACAATACACTCGACACTGTGCATACATTTATTATCTGCATGGCAGGTTTGAATAAAGTTCGCTGAGGATTGCCGGTGAGGTTGGGAACCACTGCCCGAGCACTCCGTGTCACCGGTTCGACTTTCACAGTCACCCAGCAGCACCGCAGGCCATCACCAACACAGTCAACCGTGGTTGTCATCATTGGACCAACGTTTGCCCCAACGTTCCACGTTTACTGGGAAGACAGCACTGCCTGGGCCCAGGTCAACCATGCTACGCCACTGGCAGAGGTCACAGGATACAACACTGCTGTACACCATGATGATAATGCTTAACCCTGAGATGCTACGGCAATATCTTTCCTTTGCACTTCTTATAAACTGCGCAACTGATTAATAAATGAGATAGATGATGAATGCTGTAAGCTGCAAAATGCTAATGCTGTAATAATCGACAGCAATAAGGCACTGGGGCGGGGGGGGGGAGAAGTCTCTGTGTTTGAGATTACGCCTGATTTATGTCAGCGCAGGAAGCTCTGCGATTGGCAATTGCATTCCCGTTCAGGATGGCAAATAACTGAAAAATTCCCAATTTGTTCGGGCGTAATTTATGCCCAAAATTCATGACACTGGCACTTGGCAGCAATCTTCTCTCCCGCTCGGAACAAGGTGGGCAGGTCCGGGCTGACAACGTCCCGAAAGCGATATTCTATTTGCGACGGTCCCGGTGTAATGTGCGTGGCACGCACGCGGCTGCCGTGCGTAAATATTCACGCATGATTTACACTCTGCCGAGTGAATTATAAAAGCATCCTTGATAACAAGTGAACCGAGATGAGGTTTGCAGCGGCGTGAAAGAACGCTGCATAGTTTAACTGATCAAATTGAATTCCCGCTTGGCTTTTAACTAAATTATATATTTTTTTGTAATGCAGAAAACAAATAATTACGCAGAGGACATCCACCGGGCAGATAGGGTGATGTATGTGCATATGCTGAAACTATTTCGCACCGTACTCAGCCAACCTAGCTAATCGGAAGTGCTGGGAATTGGCTCGTGTGGAAGTGCCAGGTGGACAGTTATATCGCAGGATCGTGAGAGGTGGCTGCGGCTTGGGGCGGCATTCATCCAGCAGTGGATTGACCATGGCTGATGGTGATGATGATGATGATAATAGGGGGACTGGAGCGGAGAAAACTACTCGAAGATTAAGCGATACGTGGGGAACGCGGTTTGCCAGTTTTAACACCCTTTGCGAAGTAACACATTTTGCTCTATGCAGAGTTCAAATATTTTAGTTGCCGCCAATTCTGTTGGATCCCAAACTCGCGAACCACTGTGGCAAGCGTTGCACTAGTGGCGATCCTCAGGGGCTCGCACTGAGCGAGGGTAAAAATTAAGCGTTAACTGGCGGTGCTCATTAACGGTTAATTTTGGAGGAAGTGTGCCCATTAGGTAACAAATAGGCGTTTGACCAGGAAATTACAGATTTCCACGTTTTTGTACCCTTAAAAATAACCAACGGAAGTTCTCACCTGCTAGGGTTTTATTGATCGCAAACCCGATGAAATACGGGTGCATAACTGAACCTATATTACCATCCAGCACTCAAGAGCACATTGACCTTCTAACGAGTTCAACTGATCTGGGTGGCCGCACGACAAATGAAGGTGGAGTTTGATTTGAGAGAGTTTAGAAAAAGCCACCAGAAATCGACGCAACCGCCCGCCCCTAGCTCCACACCCCCCTCCTCCATCACAATGGGAACGGGACGCAAGGGATGCTGCTGGAACGCGAGGGACGCTGCTGCCCGGGCCATCGCGAGCGGCGAGCATGGCCCGGGCAGCAGGCGGCAGCGGAAAATCTTTCACGCAACAAAAGTGGCGGACGGCCAGAAACGGCATCTGCTGGGAGTGCCAGGGAGGCTGTGGTGGCTGGGCCAGAGGGCGGGGGACGGGGGGCTGGGTTGGGAGGACGGACGCACGCACGCACGCGAGTGCAAACGCACGAGGCAACGGCAGCTCATTTAAGGTTGTTGGTTACAGTCAAGCCCGGCTTAGTTCCCCGCTGAACATTTTCCGATCCGCCGAGGGGAGTAGTAGGCATGTTACATGTCACCGGAGCGGGAAGTATCCCGCATGTAGTGTGTCGGGTGCGGCAAATATTTCCCCAGACGGACGCGGCTGGAAAAATCTCCGACCGAAACTAAACTGCGCAGGGGACAAACGCACGAGACCACGTTCGAGACCACGCACGAGACCACGCACGAGACCACGTGCGATCCCAACCCTCGTGCAGCGGCCACACATCACGACGCCCGCCCATCAATCAACAACTGCCGGGCCAAACGCTATCGCGCGACCTTGATCCCTAATCGTCGGCCGCACTGAACGGGCCGGATGCTGGCAGCCCGCTCGGCCGGGCCACGGGGCCACTTCCTGCTGGGCCGTGCCACGAGAGCGGAGCACGGGAGGGTGGCACGGGAGGGGGGCATGGGAGGGGGGCACGCATTGCGCTTGGCAGTGTCACGTGCGGCTCGCGGAGGCTGCGGGTTGTGGTCGATTTTTTTTAATTTTCTTATTATCAATATTTTCCGGGTTGTTGGTATACAGACTGGCATACTGAATGTAGTGTGCCGGGCGTGGAAATATTTCCCAAGTCGCTATTAGACTGCTGGAGTATGCACAGGCCTGGTCGCCACAGCCGTAGTTACGGGGGTATACTGGATGTTGTGTGCCCGGTGTGGAAATATTTTCCAGGACGCTAACCCAAAGAGAGGGATTGCAGAAAAAAAAACGCGCAATTGCCGTTTCCTTTTCCCACCCAATTATACGTAATGGATCATGCTCTCAGTGTGATTTTATCTTCCATTCAGACTCTGTATAAATACCGAGCTCGCAGCTCGTTGGCGCGCTTTCTAATAATCGTTGAGCGCACCACAGCTCTGCCGTGATCCTAAAGCCGGAGCCATACACTCGGTCAAATTCAATTTGGGACTTATGGCGTCGAACGCCACAGCGGCACTGCATCATCGACAGATTGCACATTAACGAGAGCCTATGCACATTACTTAGTCCAATCATTGAAGGCTGTAACGTTAACACGTGATGAAAGTTTACATGGACTGCATCTGAATCTCTGACGGGACGTCACACATCGTCAAGTTTGATCCTGACAGCACTCGCGCTGGGAGTAGGTTATAATTTAAGCCTGGCTCTAAAACGACTGACCACTGAGTCCGGATTCGGAATAGATCTCAGTCTTGAGACACCCACAAACCTCTCTGCTATTTCTAGCACTCCCACAGCTTCCCGGCTTCATCCTCCACCACCACCCCCCCACCCCCACCGCAGTCCCACTTCTCACAAAATCGACGGCATTTCGCCCGGAGCACCGGGGAGGTGACGGCCCGGGGCACTCCCGGGTTACCGGACCGGCGAATCAAACTCTGGAGAGCGCACAACGGCGGCCGTCTTTCAATGGCATGGACCCGTTCGGAGCAGGCTCAGGCCTGCAAAGTCCGGTCCACTGCTTTGCCTCAATCTCGTCACTCCATCTTCTCGGTGAACCATCCTCTCGGAACGCATTCCACCCCTGGGCTGCCAGCCCGTTACCTGACCCCTCGACCCGACCCTTGACTCGGCCCTTGACTTGGCAGAGTGATTTGAAGATCGGTGGCAGATTGGGGGGGCCATAATTATAACGTAACGCTGCGGGAACACGATACGACGCGGGGATTGATGAATGTTAACGTCGTCCCGACAGAAGCAATTTAATCGCCAACAAATCGGACAACACCCACGCTGTACCAACAGCATCCATCCAACACCATCCCTGTATTCAAGTTCATTTCAGACTCTCTCTCTCGCCGTGAACGTTAATGTTCACCTGAAGGAGAGCAGTCCACCACAATGCTGAGATGTTCGTTTGTTGAGACTAAATTATGTTAAATATTAACCACGCTCTTATTTGTATCCAACTTGTTATTCATTGCCAAAGTTGACCAATGCCGAATCATTATCGCCATCGTCATCACCATCCAGGGTCAATCCACTGCTGGATTAAGACCTTCCCACGCCGTGTCAGTCATGCTAGTTGTTTAACCATAGTTTCCCACGCTGGTCAGTGGCGGTGAGTTCGTGGTTGGTGATGTGGGCAGCACAGGACCGGTTGACCTTTCCCTCGCCACCGATTTGTTGGCCGTGGCCGCGGATCGAGTGCAGGTCACTGCAATGGTGCCGCAGCGCGAGAAACACAGCAACCCGCGGCTGCCCTTGAACGACGTCCGCTCTGCTGGGCGCGGTACGGGCTCGGCGGAAAATATGAGAGGTGCCAGGGTAAGATCGAGACCGCCCAATGCGCTCCTGGGCACCGTGGGAAGATGTGGGCAGAAAGGGGTGCGCAGGCGAGGGATGAGTCACGACAGAAAATGTCAAAGCGGAAATACACACACCATCCACGCCCCACGCGTGGTTGGTGTGTGTACCAGTGGCAGTCGTGAGATGTTAACTACCTCGCCGGGTATGCAGGAAGTCGTGGATATGATCCCGACCTTGACGCCCGCTGTATATGTTTGGAGTTTGCGTGTCTCTTTCTCTCCACATTTAGAATCAACATCACGTGTCTAGAGTATTTGGGTGCTGTCAATTTCCACGGTAAGCCACTTCGTTGAGCTTTCATTTTGTGGCCAGGTCATACTGTAGCTCAGCGTTGTATAATATTTCACGTGGTAAAATATTCATATTGGTATAACATTTTGTACGTGAAAGTACAGAACCAGGCGTTCCGTTTATGTCCGCAATTTCCTTGATGCCGATTCGCCCCACCGCACGGCCTCCACGCCACATGTCGCACACCGCGCGTTACCTCCTTCTTGAGCAGCCACAGCAGGTCCTGCTTGCGCGGCCGGTAGTAGAACGGCTCGCCGGCCTGGTAGAGGATGCGTCGCGGCGGGCGCTGCCGAAGGCCGGTCTCGTAGCCCGAGCCGCGTGCCTTGGCCGAACCCTGCGCGGACAGAGGAGACGATTAAAAATAAAAATAAAAACCTTCCCCTCGCCACTGGTACGGGTACGGCTACGCACGCACGCACGCACTCGGGAGCGCACTCCATGCCGACACAGCACCGGGCAACGCACGTGCTTGCGGGCGGGCGGACGGACGCGGGGAATTTGGGCGCCGGAACGGTGTTAGCGTGCGTGAGTAATTGTGGAAAGCACACGAGTGACACGTGGAAGATCCACGCTCACGCTCACGCACGCAACTCTGCGTGTTGAATACCGGAGGTGTGAGCGTGACATGTCCGCCGATATTTTCAATGCGCGGAATGCAAGGGACACACGTACTTGCATACGTACACTCACAAAGACACCAAAGATACCCCGTGTAGCCTTGATAGGCCGATGGGGGAAGTGCTGTCAGTGGGCATCTGTGAAGGTCAGCACAACGCATTAGGGGTGGGTGGCCAGCACCACACCGTGATGTTTACACGCCCAAGCCGGGAACTCATTTCAGGCTGAGTCAACCTAGTGGAGGCTCGGGAACACTTCATGATATGACTCGCCGATGATGATGATTTCAGCCGGGAGTCGAAATCAGGTCGCCGGGTTCGGAGCGCAGCGCGCAGACCACTGCACACACACACACTGACGACCGGCACGTGCCACCACTCGCCGGCAACCATCGCCGCTTCTCAACGCGTCCGCAGCCTCCTCGTTCGTATCGCGGTAAAAAAAAAATGTAGCAGACCCCAAGGCGTGAACGCGCCCTCGCTCGAATTGCCCGATGTGATGTAAACAAAGCGTAAGGAGCATTAAGCTGCTCTGGGGGTTCGTTGGACGCGGTTGAGAGCCACGAGAATTCTCTCTCCCCCACGGGACGAGAGTGGACCGGCCCGTCGCGACTTCCCGCGCCGACGACGCAAAATGGTTCGCGCCGAGTTTCATGCGCGGCTCCACGTCGCTTAGCGGGGAGACAGCGGCTGGCAGGGCCGCGTGAGTGTGAGGATGGGGTGGGGGGGATGTTGGGGGCGGGGGGAGGTATTTAAACGTGGGGGTTAAAAAAGCTTTGGCGTCATGTGCCGGCGAGGCGTTCACCGGTTGGTACAAAAAGGGGCTAAAGGTGCAGCCCTGCAACTGCCTTCTCACGCCACTGCTGGCGGAAGGCATTCCACTCGCGCTCGACATCCCCTCTAGAGGATCATTTGGCCTGCTCCTCCACGCTGACCAGGTCGGAGTGTCCCACACTTTGCCCCACCACCATGCGAGACCTGCCCGTCGACTCGCTGCTGAGCGGACAGAGGCGGAGAGGGATCGGGGCTTACTGTCTCACTGGAGATTATTCCAGGTCGCAGGTAGACTGGGGCAGTAAGTGGCACGTGACTAGTAGTAGTCACAGCGAGGGCACAGACATTCTGTATGTGGTGTGCCGGGTGGGGAAATATTTAACGGATCGCCCACCTGGACAGACCTGGCTGAAGTCAAGCCCTGAGAGAGGAGTCTCCCACCCCACTCCACTCCCCTAGTGTGTGTGTGTGTGCCAGGATCTAAACACGCTACTCACATAACAACAGCAACACGGATTTTCCTTTCTAAAGGCGGAAAGAGAAAATGTTTATATCTTGCACGACATGTAGAGTGGCCCACATAATGGACCCGCTCCGGAATGTCATTCGCTCATTGTCGAAGCGGTCGAAGCTGCTTGTGGCCGTGGTAGTGGTCGTGTCGACGTCTTTAAACATCAGAGTGCCGACCGCCGCCTAAACAAGCAGCACTTTACAGTGACAAAGCAGCGGAACGGGGGAGACGAGCCACATTCTTTAACTGAAAAAATATAAATATATAAAACTAGCCAAACAAAGCTCCGCTGTCAGAGCTCGGTGTCAACACGGCGGTGCAAAAGGGCAAGCCAAGCTGAACCCGGTGGATTCTGGGTGCCCACAGCCGACGCGAGGAGGAGCCGGCGAGAGACTCGCATGGGACGCGGGCACGGAGCCAGGAGGCGGTGGGGAGGGCGTGAGATCAATTGGGAATTCGTGGCGAAGAGGCACACGTTTTCCGCACGACCGTTTAACCGGCTCAGAATCCGTGGCATGATCTCATATTTCCGAAGCCACGGCCCTTCGTATTTTAATCTTTTCGAATGTGACTCGGACAAGAACTACATCGACGCACGCGGGAAAAACATCGACGCACGTGGGAAAAAACATCGACGCACGTGGGAAAAAACATCGACGCACGTGGGAAAAAACATCGACGCACGTGGGAAAAAACATCGACGCACGTGGGAAAAAAACATCGACGCACGTGGGAAAAAACATCGACGCACGTGGGAAAAAAAAATCGACGCACGTGGGAAAAAAACATCGACGCACGTGGGAAAAAAACATCGAAGCACGTGGGCGGCAGCCGGCGAGTGGCCGGGCGGCACGGGACGGGAAACACCGTGGCCTGCCGGGACCCCCGGCCTCGCCTCTCCTGCTGCAAGCGCTCTGTGCGCTCAATCCGCCCCCTCTGCTTGAACTTCCGAGGAGCAAAATCCGTTGAGTGCAACACAGCTGAACGATTTTGTAAAATGCATTCGCGCGCACCGCAGGTCACGCACCGCGCAACATGTTCCCGACAAACTCATCCGTAGGCTTTCATGATATTTTCGTGGTTGTTAACATTTGCGTCCAAATGCACGTCCTGGGTTTCGGCTCGCTGATCGTTGACGTCTCTGCCGGCGGAGTCTGTCCCTTCCTGCACCCGACGAGGTCGTTACCGTTTACTCTAAAGTCACCTTAGCAGCGGTTGGGCAGGACCGATGGCACGAGGCGGTTTGATCGTGCGCACTCACCGCCGCATTACACGAACCTCCACCCCCCCACCTCTCAGCCGTGGATACGTCTGTGTCGAGATGCGCTGCAAGGGCAAATCGTGCAGCGTTCAATGTTGTAAGTCTTGTTTTCAGGGAGACGGCATGGCGCACTGAGTAAGCAAAACTGAATTTCGAAACCGGTCCAGAGTTTTGCTCGTTTTAAACAAATCCTGGCAGGGAGCGAAAGAAAAAAAATCACTCCCACAACGCTGATGGGATGTGTAAAAAAAAACTACTTTTATATTTTTTTTACGAGTGACAAATGCTGGAAGGAGGCGTATTTCCCGTTCATGTATTTTGTTGCGGTGATCTAGGGTTGCCACCCGTTCATAATCAGTGCAGACGCTGCCAAAGTCAAACGTAATGAGCACACTCGCAAACCGGCGTGTTCGATCATCTCCATCGCCAGCCATGGTCGATCCACTGCTGGTTGAGAGTCTCCCCAAAGCCGCCGCTACAACCACCTCTCATGATCTTGCACGGGAACTATCCACCTGGAACCTGGTCATCCCTTCCATCCCCTTTGTTGGACGTCCTCTTTCCCTATAGTTTGACTATTCAAACAGCATGCGGGATATTACGCCGTTGTTCCAAACGCGTATACGCCAGGATATTGAATTTTTTAGCGTTGTTTTGCAGCTACAAGGCTTCTAATGCCGATCGTTGTCCACATATTTGTTCAACAAATATGTGGCGACCCTTTACTGTGAATCGTGAGCTATAGCACGGGATGCGGACAAGCTGCGAGCGTGCGTACAATAGAGAGGGCTTTGTACCGTCCCGGCCTCAAGACTTACGGGCGAACACTTCGGGTGCTGGGAACACTGATGTAAACCGGCGTGCAAGTCACCATTTGTAACACCGGGACGATTTCTCATTTGCATCACCCCCTGAGCATTCCGACGGGTGAAGTATTCCTTTTAAGACGAGCAGCGGACGAGCTCTTGAATGCGTGCAGGGTGCGTTTCGCGTGCCATGCACGCCTGTGCCACAGAGGCTGGTGCAGGCCGCTCCGTTCTTTCATTCTGAACGAGAACCATTTTTGGGAACGTTGCTTCACGCAGTATTTTCCAAAATACGCCGTCTCGAGGTTTCACCGGCACGTACTTCAGCTGTTAATAGTCCGTACACATAAGTGTTTACAGAGCCACAGGCGATGTTTATGTGTGGATCAACAGAGGATAGATCATAACTGATCATGATGATGATTGATCGACAATAACAATTATAATACTTACAAAAAATATTATCTACAGCCATTAAGACAGTAGTGCATTGCTTCCATAATAGAGGTTTTTTTTGGATTTGATCGCGTAAATATATAAATGTGTCGTTAACACCCGCCACCACCCGACACAGCCAACTAGTGAGGGTTGTCACGTAAACAGAACGTGGCCAATTCGTCACTAGTACAGCACACCGGTGTGCTAAACTTAAAGTACATTACTTGTTTGCCAATACTTCACCATACTGTTCAGTGCGGGTTGGGGTGGATGGAGTCCTGGCTAGGAATTGAACTCAGGTCACCGGATTTGTATCGGAATGATCTGTACACCACCCCAACGCTCCACCCCACGCTGACATAGTGATACAAGCAAATACAGCGAACTGTCAATGCGTATTCGCGTACTGTACACACACGCAGTGTCATCATAATCAGTAATTTAAACAAAAACAATAGCCATGATCCATTCACTGCTGGACGAATACCTCGCCAAGCCGCCGCCGCCCCCTCTCCACGATGCTGCGATGCGATAAATATGCGGCGTGTGCGTGTGTGTATTTATGGTTTAAAAAAAACGGTCCGGCTTCAATGTCAAAACAAAGTCACCGTACAGTGAGTCTCATTTCCATTTGGTGCTCGCTGCGAGTGGGTGTGATTTCCACGCGTGTAGTTTTTTTTTAATTTTCCTGCTCCGGTCAATGATCGTTGCCGTCTCATCAGCTGTTGTCCCCGGTGGAGGAGGGAACGGCAGATTGGCGAAGGCGTTCAACAGCAGGGGTCGAGACGTTTCTGCGATACATGAGCTCAGCGACTTGCGTGGAAGTTTACAGTCAACTCCCACTCAGATACCGTTCCCTTCCTGTGAGCATCAGATAAGGAAGCACATTTTCCATGACCAAAAAAAAATTTGCACGGAATTTTTTTT